AGTTAATTGCTGATTCCGTTTCCTCAAAGTTATAATTCTCATACGTCATGGTTGTGACTATCTTCCTCTTTAAGGCTCGCCATTCCCGTTACTTATAGGCGTATAATAAAAGAATTTGAATACGCATATTATCCAACACATTTTGCATGAGGATAATAAAACACATTTTTTACCCGTAAAATTTTGAACGAGACGCCTTTGAAATGTCGATGATTGTGAACAAACACTTAAAGACTATAACTTACGTTCCATTGGGACATTCGGAGACACATTGCCCCCTGAACGTGTAGTGTCGGCACACAGAGCAATCGCTGCTATTTGTCTTACGACAACCGAGACATTGGCTTTTACATTTTTCACCTTCGGGCCCGTCGAGGAAACGTTGGCATTTTCTGAAAATATATAATCATTGCGGTAAATCTGAGAATCGAAATCGTTTTTAAACTTTCGTCGTAAATAGCACTTTAATACTCCAAATGATAACCATACTCTTACTAACACAATACAATACAATGCGAAAATATGGATGTATGGATAGATAGGTCTTCGTTAGAAGTTATCTCCAGGACTCTCTAAATGGATCTTGATGAAGTTAGGCACATACGTAGAACATAGTCTGGGAGAACACATAGGCTACTTATTAAGTTTTTTTTTTCGCACGGACGGGCAACAGTTAGTTGAAAATTAAAATCATATAAATTACCATAAACCAGAATTATATTCTAATGTATTCATCTCTTTTCATTGACTGAATGTGATTTAATATTTCATCCATTTCTACAAATATTCCGATAAGAAACAGAAGCCATTCTTTATTAACCAGTGACATAAAAATAATAAAAGTAATAGTTAACCAACTTGGTATAATTGAATACAGTACTTGATATTCCAGCAACGATTGGTAACTGGGTTTCTTGAACATCTGCAAGCGACATCGCATTGGGCATGTTTGTCTACATCGAGCACGTGCCTATAGCCAGGCGCTATCGCTTGCCAGTCCACCGTATCTATCCAGCAAGCTTGCGTCGCCCCCCATATTATGACACCACCTCTATCAATCTTGAGAAGATTGTATAAACCTATCTGTAACATTGTATAATCACGTTAGTTTATTCAACTAAAACTAATAAGTTAACTAAGATACGGGGTAAGGTACAAATCTAATGATACTTTAGGCGCGAATTATACAGAGACGGCGTAAGGTGAAGACGCGACTCAGGCATCTTATCGCCTTAAAACGTTTCAATACTAAATGTAGGAATGCCATACGATGTGAATTATGCTTTGTTTTGTTCGTTACATGCCTGCAGTGCGCCTACGTCGCATCTTTACCGTACGCTGATTTTGTATAATTCACGACTTACACTTCAAAATTCATATAGCCATTTAGGTTACATACCGCAGTGTAACAAACTGCCGATTGAACGAGACATGTTCTTTGTATTATCGGTCACTCAGTAAAATCATAGTATCAAGTCTTTTTAACAACATTCATTATTATACTATGTCATTGTCTACACTTTAAATTACATTTAAATTATATAATTGGAATAACACGGTAATAAAATTCTGAACTATTTGAACTCAAAACTGAAGTCTAATAAATTGCCCTATTAATTTGACCTTGATCTTCGCTAACGACCTCTTTAATATAACTAATTGTATAGTATGATTTTAAAATTAATTGTCCCTAGGTATATCATATTAAGTGTTCATTATGTATGATATAAAAATTGATAAAAAAAATCAAAACACAGGTACCTCTCTAAGGTTCGGCATATCATGAACGATGAGGGCGTAGTTATAAAAAAGATGGTTTCCTCGAATCCTAATTAAGTTTGGGAACAATTGACCTAAACTCTCCAAACCACGCACTCGGTAGACCAACAAGAAACCTGTAATCTGAGATGAAAAAAATATTTTTAAATTTAAGAGAAATTAAAATAAAATCCTTACTTTAACGTTCCAGAAACTTGTTACTTGATAACAGAAAATTTCCGCCTGCCATGTGCATGTGTGCAAAATTAAAAAAAAACAAATCTTTCCAGTAGATACCTCCTTGAGCTGGGGATAAGAAACATTTTCGAAATGTTCTCGCTTAGTTCTCTCAAGAACCACAACGTGGAGGTTGCCCAGAATTACGGTACAATTCTTCAATCGACTCAAAGCTTCTAATGAGTTGCAGAACATACTCTTGCAGATTCCGTGATGGTTGAATGAACGTGAAATTTGAAAACTCGTATTGTTTTTCTGGCAACAGCATAACCCAATAACTGTAAAAGCTGCCAACCTAAAAACAGAAAATCGTACGCTTTAAGATTTTTAAAGTTCTCTTACCCTCTATTTATTTTGTAGAAATATGCAGAAAAACATTAATTAATTGCAAATTGCAAATTTAAAACCTACATATTAATAAAAAAATAAAAATTCATTTAAAAAAATGTAATGTTCCACAGATTGAAAATGGTTTTAATACACAAGAAAACTCACATACTAACTGCGATATGAGGTTAGGTTAGGATTATAAGAATTCGTTATTAAAATTTAATATTATCAAATAGAAACTTGATGTATACCAGCTTAATATTTTCGGCGCCATGACACTTTTAACTTTTTCCCGCCAAACTTTTTATATTTCTTCTGTGCTTTTGCTGTTGATCTCTTTATCAAAAGGCGACGGAGAAGTTTCAAGTAGGCATATCTTCCTCCAATGAATGGAAAACACATTTTATATTCGTTTCATGTCCCTTTGTATTTATAAACTGTCATCAATTGTCTGTGTTTAATCTGTAATTAATCTTACAAATATTTAACCAAATAAAACAATTAATATTAACACTGCCTGTATTAACAATTTGGGTAGCGTAAATTAGTAGTGAATAAAATATAATTATACAAAAGATGCAGATTATATTATTGTACACAATTCAAATAATTATGATATGCATATTATAATATTTGTTACAAACACACATATTTCTAGCACAATACATAATTAATTAATATTTCTAATATCACATAATACGTACAAATAAACGAATACTGACCCGTACGCATAAATTATTAGCGCAGTATTTTATCACAGACATAGGAATTTAACCGACAGCCGACCTCAATATAATGAACCGATGACTAATTAGCTATAAGGAAAAGCTATATACTATAATTTTTAAACATTAACCATAGTCCAGAATGACCCGATAGTGTGAAGGTTTCCGTTGCAACTGGCTTCAATTGGAGTCAGTGCAAATTATTTAATTACCAATTTTTATTTCGATGGACTCTTAATAAAGGATGGCAGGGAGGTGGAAGGTTAGGTTTATACAGGATGTTCATTTTAATTATTTATTTTTATGTCGTATTTCGATGAGATAAAACAATACTCATTTTTTGCCCATTCTTAACTTTATTAGATAAAGGTTATGTCATCATGATCTTGTCTTCGTCTTGTCATTTTCATACTTCTACGGAAAAAAGCTGATGTTAGGAATATTTTTACATTCTGATAAACGTACAGAAAGTAACGTAAGACGGGCTAAGTAGAGATTCAAAAAATCTGATATATACCTTATATCCCTCACATGGGGACAGATTCAATAATCGTAAAAATCAACCTTACGTAATTAATGGAAACTGAATAGCCCTCACGACGTTTTCTTTTCCTACACAAATTTAATTTCACATCAAAAGTACACCTTTTGAATACGGGACATATTAAAAATACAGCGAATATATTTTAAAAGAAACGCATATACAATTTTAAACGTAGCAAGTTACATTCCCAATTCATTTTTATAAAAAGAAGCTGTATATTTTTCATCTGCGCTGCGACCGGCTCGCGGGGCTCGGTAGAGTGGTTGTTCTTGCAAAATATCTGCCTGTTATTTTAATCTTCGCTCAGTAAAGTGTCTCGGCTGTAATAAAACCGCCTGTATAACCGTAAGACCTGCAGGTCAAGTGGTTTTAACGAGCGATATTGCATTTTGTGTCGCTACAATATACAACGCGGAGTCGAGTGCATGTTACCCGGAGGATCTCAGAGATGATACTAAATTTTCTTTCATGAATACATATTAAAAAAATTTCAACGAACTCCGTCTTATACAATAGTAGATTTGTTTGTGCTACTATACTTACAGGCTCTTGTGAAGATGTATTGGTGCAATCTTTTTTTAAGATTTTATTAATTTATGCAGAAGTTAAATTGAATTATGTATTCTAAAATGTTAACGGTAAATTATATTAAAGATTAACGCGCATTCGTCAACTCCTCGTCCACTTTTCACCGCCACGATCTCGCAGATAAAGGAAGTTAAGAAGTTGCATAATATGAGTCGTGTTAATGGACCCAGGAGGGAATGTACAGAAAAAGAATACAAATAACTCCCATTCCTTCTCAATGTGTTCTATATGTAAAGGGTTGGAAGTAAATGTGGATGTAATGGGAAAGGTGAAAAATGATCCATCACCATTAAAGATTAAAAATTTGTTATGGTTGCGCACATTAAACACCATTGGGTCTATTGACAGTTGTAACTTTGATATTTTGGGGATAATATGTTTGTGGGCACTTGTTCGATGGCACATTTAAAAAAATGTGCTTTTACAGTAATTCTAAGGACCGGCCTTTCTCCTTAATCAATTACTATGCTATGGAACTTCCTTTGGAATAATTTGATGGGTATCTTGAGTAAAATATTTTATGGACCTCTTCATATGAAGACATTATAACGTTGTAAGGTTTTATATGACAAAATAAATGAGTGGATATTTTAAAAACTAACATTTTAAAAAGCTTTATGCTTTTATTTTTAGGGAAAATACAAACTTCGTTTATTAAACTAATTATAAAAGTGTTTCCCTAAATACCTGGGTAAATTTGTACTAAAAGGGCAGCATTAAATCAGCAGACCATAAACAATTACAGAGAAAAGATAGCAATACCAAAGAGTCTTTGATAACATAAACAATAACAAAATACTGTCATTGTCAAATGTCAATCATCGAAAATATCACTTTAAAAATACTTTTACCCCTTTTAATTTAAATTTAAAGGTTATTACCTCATTAATAAGTATATCAATATGAATGTCCCTTTAAGCAAAAAACAAAGGTTCTGTTTTTCATGAATTTTTTGCCTCATTACAGTCTTCAAAGTATATAAAATACATGTTTACTCAGAGTTATATTTAATTACATGGTAAATCGTATCTGCAACACGAAAGATAAAAGTAATAAGAGGAATGTACAATGCTATAAATACAGTTTTAGATCTCTTTCATGCTTTGAACATTGCTTTAATGAAACAGAATACAATGTAGAATCTCAACATTTGTTACTACACAATCGATTGTTTATTCTACACTTTAAAAATAATTTTCATTCATATATTTTAATTTAAAATTCAGTGTTATATCCAAAATATAATAATTTTCAAATACAACACTATAGTTTTATTATGTCATTTTTTTTCTAATGAATTATGACCATTTCATTGCAGATATAGAGCACGTAAAAAACAGAGACTTTTGGAGCAACGTAAACCTTTTGGTCTTGGTTACCAAGGACCTTTAACAAAGCCACAATTCCAGCCTTATACTATTATACACGGGAATAAGAACGTAACTAATACTAAAGATATAGCACAACAAATTGTAAAGAAAGAAATCACAAGTGAAGTTATTGATATGAACGCATCAATAAAACTTGAACCAGATTTGACAGATGATAATTCACCATCAATACCTCTAGCTCCAACACCAGCACAAATAACACCGTAAGTTTATTCTTATTATTATAAACAGTTAAAGCTTGCTAGCTATAAGAAAGAGTCCCAGGAACTGCAATATATTTCTAGTTTATAGAGGTCTCAAAGGCACATATCTAAGAAGAGATTTACAAGATAAGTGTGAAGTCAATCACCTGCACTTGGCCAGCTTGGTGACTATGACCTAGTCACCCCTTACTTAGGGTAGGCTTCCAGCTTTAGTGGATATGTATAGTGAGCTTATGATGAATAGAGATCTTGTTCTTACCAGAGTTTCTAGCTTATGGTGGTTGCCTGTTGGGACCGGACGTTACTCGCTTATTTAAATTTGACTGTAGAGTAAATCCAAATAAAATGCCACTAAAGAGACTGGATATTATTTCTTTTAAAGTTATTGGCCAGTTTTGGTCACTGATATTAACTATCTTATACAAAGCAGTTTCTATTCTATTTTTATTGTACTGCATGTTTTCAATTCTTTCAGACAAGTACTGAAAAAACCTTCACTAAACATACAAGGAAAAACTCAAGAGAAATTTAAAATCAATCAGAGACAAGAAGAGCAGCCCAACAATAACCAAAATAAAGAAGAAAATGCAACATTAAATGAAGAAAAAGTTGAGACACCAAATGAAAATCAAATTGAAGAACAGAATAAATCTATGAATACAACAGACTCTCATATGAATGAATCTACATTGAATAATCAAACACAAAATCAAGACAAACCAGGTACTTGGAAAACAATATAATTTTTTTTTTTACTTGTTCCTTCCTATTTTCATTAGGCGCATAAAAATGTCTTTACATTTCTTATTTTTGTATGGGTCTGCCAATTCATACAACCACTAATTATGTATGTATGGTTTGCTAACCTTGTTAATTCATTTCTTAGCTAATGAAGTGAACAGTGGATCACAGATACCCGTTTTAATGAAGCAACCTCTCACCAACAAGAACAAGGCCGACAACATTTCAAAAAATCCTGTCCAGACAATACCAACACTGACTAACCAATCGGGTATTTATCTTGAATTTACATTGTTTGAACACATTTTTTTTATATCATAAGGAGGCAACGAGCGCGTGACCGTTGCCCATAGACATACGCAATTGTATATGGGTTGCCTAACTTTAATCAACGGAGGAGTACTTTCCATGCATCCTCTCATCCGGAAAGTCCGCTTCGACTTCCCATCCTTTCCTTATAAAGAAAAGGATGGGAAGGGAAAGAGGACTGCATAAGGCCTCCGGGACGCACACTCATCAGACGAAACGCGGAATAGCTTCCACTTGACGCCTGTCTTCTATGTGGTCGTGGTATTTCACCGGGCGAGCCAGGCGAATTCGTGCGAAGATGTTAAAGCGGACTGTACCACTGTTAAAATACATTTATCAAAACATCTTATTATCTCTATATCTTCGATAAGTATGATAGAGATTTTCTACTTTAAAATAATCTTATTTACTTCACATATAATATTATAAGTGTGTAAGTTTAGAAGAATGGATGAATTTGTGTTAAAAGGCATCTCCAAGATGGCTTCATGGATGTGGATGATATTAGGTACAGATGTAGAACACTGGAAAACTTTTTTATTATCTATATTAAATATGTAAATATAATATTTCAGGAAAACCAAAGAAAATCCCAAATACACCAAACCCATCAATCAATTACCAGAACATCCATCATGTTCCGTGTCCACCAATGTGTGAGTTCATTTTTATGTCAAATTTAACAAAAAAAAAAGAAGAAAAACAAATATTTTTTTTAACTATTACTATGTAAAGTAGAAGAATTTAATAATAAGCTTTATAATTTTAATTCAATTGCTTTGTATGTATTTTTTTTAAACACTCTTTTCCCTCATTTAATGCTTATTGCCTATCAATAAAGGATAGTATGGATGAATAGATGGATGGATGTTTGTTTGAAGGTATCTCCAGAACGGCTGAACGGATCTAGCTCAAATTTGGCACAGATGTAGAACATAATCTGGTAGAACACATAGGCTACTTATTAAGTTTTTTTTAATTCCGCTCGGACAGAGTCGCGGGCGAATGCTAGTTTCTTATAATTTCTTTCTTCCATTGAATTCGACTATGCCATATAATACTCATAATTTTCGCGATCCGAATGTAAGAACATATACTCGTAGCTGGATGGATTAGTAACTTATGTGTTTGTCCAGACTATTTTCTACATCTATGCCAAATTTCAGCGAGATCCAAACAGCTGTTTTGGAAATACCTTCAAACAAACATCCATATATCCAAACATTTGTATTTAATATTAATAAGAAGAAAGATGAATGTTCCTTCCATTGTTTAGTTTAACAAATATTTATTACAGTGAATCCCGGTCAATACCCTGCAGCCAATTTAGAAATGCTATATCACAGCATCTATGCTGCAGAATCCGGTATACCTAGAAGTAAGTATATAACAATGTTAGTTTACATAAAACATATATCACCTTATATACTATAAATTTAGTTCAGTTAGTTATGCAACAGGCGGTCACGAGTACAAACGCTTGTTTAGATGCATTAACTTCTTTTTAGTTGGACAATAAATGTGTTGGTAGCTTAGAGGTTAAGAACTTGACTTGTATCAGCAGGTCCTCGGTTCCAATCCTGCCATGTACCAATGTGTTTTTCGCTTTAAATATGTACATTTATCAGAGTCTTATGGTGAAGGAAAACATGATGAAACACCCCGCACATAATTGTGAAAAAATTCAAAGATATGCGAAGTCAACCCGCACTGTGCCAACATGGTTGACTATGGCCTAGTCATCCCTAACTTAGGGTAGGATCCGAGCCGAGCAGGGGGACATATAGTGAGCTGATGATGCTTCAATTTCTATGTTTATACTGTTCAAAATGTGTCAAAATATTGCCTTTGTTTTTTTTAGAAAGTGTATTTTGACAGGTCAAAAGTGTTTCGGCAGTTTCTTTTTTAATTTTATATTTGTTTTTTGTTTCAGGTGCATTTCCGAGTGGTAAGAAATATCCAATTTAAAATAACAATTCAGTACTGTTTTCTAAAGTATATATACAGAAGCATTTAAAGTTTCTTTAAGAAATGTCGTCATCTTGCATTTATTTTGTAAATTAAATGAATGTTTAATTATGTTTTTTTTTTCTAGGAGTCCCGATGTCGTTTTTGTTGCAACAACCAAACTTTGGAGCGATCCAACCGCAGTGTAAGTTTAATATGTAATTTATTTAATTAAGAATTTGCATGTGTTGCCATGTTGTCTAGATTTACCTATTTTGTCTACATATAATTGTTACGATGTATGAAAAACTATTTTTGTGTTTATGTGTACTATTCATACCTTAAATTTTTAAAACAAAAAAAATTATGCACAATATTTTCGATAGTCAAATAATAGGGTTAAAATATTCTTATTTTGATTCATAAGCGACATGAAGTAATTCAATGTGTACCATTTTTTACCGATTTTTTTTGACCGAAAAAAGTAGGTAGGTTTTTTAATTATTCATAGAACTGTAAAATCTATATTATAGTTTTAAAAGAAAAAAAAACAATTAGTTACAGGTTACAGGCCCATCAATCCAGGTCTTCTACCCCATATAATGCCAATGCACGACCAAAGAACGAACCAACCGACATTTTCTCAACCGCAAATTTATATAGACAGTAATTTCCCAACAAACACATCGACTTATGTCAATGAAGTTCCACTTACAGTACCATCTCAACCTTATTCACCTTCTGATCTCTTCACCGAAGATGGTGAAGCAAGTAAACCTAATGAAGGTAATATTAAAATATTATAATCTTACTCTTACTAATATTATAAACTAGTTGTCGCCCGCAATTCCGTCCGCACGGAATTACAAAAATAACTAAATAGCCTATGTATTATTCCAGACTGTTCTACATATATGCCAAATTTAAGCGAATCACCCGTTTTGGACATAACTCAGACAAACATCCAATCATCCATACATCCATCCACATGGCATAGATGTAGAACATAGTCTGGAAGAACACATATGTTACTTATTAAGTTTTTTTTTAATTCCGTGCGGAAGGAGTCGCGTGCGACAGCTAGTTGTTTATAAGGAAATGATAGGAAAAAAGGGGAAATGTTCTCTTTCTGTTCATCCCCCGTCGGTTAAAGGTAGGCAACGCATCTGCAATTGCGAATGTCCATGTGGAGGAGGCGCTTCGCCATTTCGGCGAATTCATGGGACTGACTAGAAAAACACATGATATTGATTATATTTAAATATTCCAGAGGGACGCGAAAGTTCATCTCCGGATTTATGTAAAGTAGGTCAGAGACGTCTGAGTGCGTTTGAGCGGCTCGGACCACTCACTCAGCCTAAGAAACCAAAGCTGACTATTAATCTTAGCTTCAACAAAGAACAAGCCATCAGGTAAGATGTTCATTCACTTATATCATTCATTCATTCAATCGTTTAGGTATGTGAATGAAAAGACGATTAGTATTTCCTCAATTGACAAATTTAAATTTTTCTGTAGTAGAGTTTTTGTAGATGAATGAATATTTGTATGATGTATGAGAGAGACATTGTATGTATGTATGTATGTATGAGCTCACATTTCTTTTTTTTGTTTTGATAGACAGACGGACGGACAACAAAGTGATTCTATAAGGGTTCCTAAAAATATATTTGCACCTTAATAACACTATTTTTTGAATAATAATAATATAAAATTGTTTGTGTTCTGTATGTCTATTACATTGTGCATAGGAAGGGGAAATATTTCCTTTTGTGTGTCCCGTTCTCTGTCGAGTAAATGTAAGTAATGCATCTGCAATTGCGGATATCTATAGGCAGTTTTCACTTTAATATTTCGCAGTATCCTGGTGACACAAAAAGATACCTTCTGTAACTCAAAACGTTTTTTTTATAAGTTGCCTAATCATTGGCAAATATGTTTCGTTTCATAGGGAAGTAGTGGGTGAAGATGAAAGTAATAAATATGTCCCCGTTCATATGAGAGAAGATATAATCAACAGTTCTGATGAAGTTGTGACGACGCATTTAGGAAATTGGCCGTGGAAGAATCCCATTGTTGTTAGGAAAAGTGTCGGCGCTAGAGCTTCTAAGGTAATAAAATGAATTTAAGTGAAAGTAAACAAACACACTTTAGTATTTTATAAATATTCACTAAATTAAAAATACACATGTAACGTTTATAAATATACTAGCTGTTGCTCGCAACTCCGTCTTCGCGGAATTAAAAAAAAAACTTTATAAGTAGCCTATATGTTCTTCCAGGCTATGTTATACAACTATGCCAAATTTGAGCGAGATCCGTTGAGCCGTACTGGAGATATCTCCAAACAAACATCCATCCATCTAAACATTCGCATTTATAATATTAGAAAGACATTTAGTTCCAATTTCCACTAAGCGGAATGCAGCACGACAGGACGTGCGGATAGTCACATTGTGGAAATAGGTATTAAAAGTATAATGCTATTTTTGGCTATTTTAGAGTGCGATGATAATGGAACAGGAACAAATGGAAGAGGTTTATGAGAGAGGGAATATATTTATTCAATTAACAGTCAAAGGATATCCTAACACGTGGAGTAAAGAAGACGTATTGGATACTTTGCTGGAGAATCTTAAAGGCAAGTGCTTTGTGCCTTGCTTCATAGAGGTATGTTATAATTGGTTGACATATAACGATAATGATTTGATGAAATATAAATAATATTTATTGGTAAAAATCAATCTAATTTACATTTTTTAAAGCTCAGTAAATATGCTTAGTCTACACTAAATTCCTTGATTCCACTAGTCGCGACAGCTATTTATCTGAGTAATTTGAAATTCCAATAGATTGCGCAGTGGAAAATAATCCTAGCCTTAAATTTGTCATTTAAAATTTCATGTTTAATGTTTACGTAACTACGTTATCCATAAATCCGGCTCAAAGGACCACATTATTCTAAAATCGAAAACCTCACTCAAAACACTACTTATTATGTAGCTTATACTACTAACAATGGCTTAGTCATCCGTTTCATTATCTTTAAGAAAAATAGAGTTAAAAATATATTTTAAACGGGGATTTTGGTCTGGGAAACTCACGGTTAAACATATGTTAGTTCACACCAACGGAATGCAAGTTCCTCGTGATAAGATCTCGTCCAGCGCTGGTCGCTATCCACAAGCTGGGCTTCACCGCGCGTAAGGATGACGTCATTCTCCACATCACCATATACGACATCGACCTTGACATTAAGACGATCAACTTCCTGCCAAAGATAGTTCTCAGGTATTTAGTAATGCGAGGTCTAGAAAATGATACTAAATTGAATCTGCAAGAATTTACATTACAACCAGGTAAGTGCTAACTATTTTAATTTGCTCTCTTTATTTGGTTGTTTAATAAATTCAAATTACAATACCTCGTTATTGATAAAAACTTCTGAAACACACACATCTTTAATCCTTATGATAATATTAGCTGTCGCCCGCGACTTCATTCGTGCGGAATTAAAAAAAAACACTTAATGAGTAACCTATGTGTTCTTCCAGACTATGTTCTACGTCTATGCCAAATTTCAGCGACATCTGTTCAGCCGTTATGGAGATTCCTTCCAACATCCATCAATCAGTCCATCCACCCATCTATCTAAACATTCGCATTTATAATATTAGTAAGATATGTCAGTATCTTATTATATTTCTTTTATTTTCAGATGTTAGCCATTTTATTTACTATCCACTTAATCGTACAAGCAACCAAATTGGTATCATAGATTTGCACGTCGCAATTGTGTGGAACAATCTCACACATCTTGTTTTGTCTCACAATAGAATGACGTAAGTATTTAATTCATTTTAAAAATAAATTAAATTTAGGTAAACGTATAATGAGATTTAATAACCTACTTATAAAATTGACAGTGAAATTAAATAACCCAATCGTACTTACGAATAAAAACCCATAGACCCTGAGTCTGAGACCCAAATCGATAAGACAGCGCTATCTATTCGCTGCATTTAACTTATTAAACTATAAAGTTACAAAAAAACACTTTATTATTTTAGAATAAACTAAAAAAAAATGAAAAAATCTATAGCGATGAAAAAAAAATTTACGCAAATGAAATTTTAACTTTACTATATTTTTAGAATTTAATCTCTCATGCCTACTATACGTGTTTTGTGTCGAAGTAATATATTCTATGACACTCCGTGGAAGAAGACGATTCGAATGACACCTCACTCATCAAAATCGGTTCAGTCGTTTAGGCTCTAGAGTGTCACAAAGGAACTTACATAAACATACGCGCGAAAACTACTGTCCTCTTTGTCAGTTGGTAAAAACGTGAAAGAAACTCTGTCTTTTCCAAGGAAAATGAAAGAGATGACGATATGTTTGTGAACTTATCTTTTTAATATTGTAGATATGTTTATTATATTGATTTAGTTATAGGATTCTTGTATTATATCGCCAATTATTTCCAGCTCTATAGAAGGTTTCGATCTTCAACATACAACACCGTTACTGCAATACTTAGACATATCATATAATAACATAGAAAGAATTACAGTATTATTAAACTGTAGGAAGCTACCACTAAGGTCGCTTACACTGGAGGGGAACCCCCTTTGTACGGACTATAGAGACCCAACGGATTATGTTAAAGTTGCAAAAATGCTGTTTCCTATGTTACTAGAATTAGTAAGTATTTTTTTAGCCAACTTCAAAAAGAAGGAGGTTATCAATTTGTCTATATGCTTTTTTTATTTTTTATATGTGTTATTTTTATATCAAAATGTAGCAAACGAGTGAGCGTCCACCTGAAATCGCTGAAATAGCGAAGTGACCGTTGCCTATAGACATACGCAATTGCATATGCGTTGCCAAAAAACACCTTTTTATTTGTAAATCTAAATCTTATGTGGCATATTATTTTACAGCTGTAAACTAAACAATGCTTTGACCAATTGACTGTTATTTAAAAGTCAAATTATAAATTGTTATTTTGTAATATTTAAATGCTTAAAATATACTTCATTATTTTATGAATTGAATAAATTTACTATTGGTGCAATGCGTACTATCTTGTATTCGTTGCCTAAGGCCCTTGGTACACATGGCAAAGTAAATCGTCGAAACCAATATTGTGTTAGGTGACGGGAATCGCGTTGCGCAAGCCAATACACACGACGTTAAATCTCCGACGCGAATCGTCTTTTTGGTCAGTACAGGCATTGCGACATGACAACTGTATAGATTTGCTCCGCCATCTTGAAAACTGTAGTGATTTTTGGAAATGACAGATATATCGATTGTGTTGCGTAAGTCACTTAACGACTAAAATTGCCTGCTTCGAAAGATTTACGTTGCCTCGTGTACCGATGGCCTAAAGATAATCATTTTAAATATTAAATAAACATATATTATTATAGGATGGAATAAAAATTCCGATCAATGGCGATTTGCCAAAGATATACAAAAATTACTGCGATATCGAGGCTAAGGAACTAGTTGATAAATTTCTTCAGACTTACTTCCCTATTCTGGACATGCCGCCACACGAGAGAGATTTAACTGGAGACATGTATGATACTAACGCCATTTTATCTTTCACTTCTAAATCTTCTTTATGTAAGTTAATGTTTTAATACCACTACAAATATATAGCATTTGGATATGATATTTTGTTCTATTGTGTAATAGTTTTTTTTTATATAAAAAGGTGCCAAACGAGCAAGGGACACTCATATTTTTATATAAATTTTATAATGTCTCACGAAAGTTTAAGTGTGAAAGTCACTTTCTTTTGTAAAAACTATAAAAATATGTCTTAGTAATGTTAGGGGAAATACCACGATTATTTAATGAATTTATAGTTGATTTCTGAGTCCGAAACCACTCAATAAAACGTTTCGTAATCCCAAACAGAGATAACAATATTTTTTATAAAAAGATTTAGGTCTCAGAAACCAAAGATTAATATTGTCCACAGTAAGTATGACGGCATGGCGTAGAAACCGTGCTTTATTCTTTTTCAACCGTCAAACGGATGATATGATCGGCGGATGTATTTCAACTGTTAAGAAAATAGTTAAATTTATGAAGAAATTGCCGAATTTGCAACATGATCCTACAACATTTACCGTAGACGTCTTGTCACATTCCGTAAGTGAATTTTTTTTTTCATAAAAGTACACAAGCCTTTAAAACTTTTTAAAGTAAAAAGTTATATTTTTATTTAAATACTCTTTCGTTAACAAGTCAATGTATAAGATTCAGGCCATCGTGGTTGACTATGGCGTAGTCACTCCTAACTTAGGGTAGGCTCCGAATCCCTTAGTGGGGACGTATAGTGAGCTGATGATGAATTTGAATTTAAATCATTTAAAATATTGGTTATTTAGAATACGTCAACAATTATCACCATAAGTGGGATATTAAAAATAACAACAGACAGTTTAGCGGAAGATGAAAATATGATAGCGTTCAACAAGACGGTACTTCTCCATACAAATGACGGCGTCGAATACAAAATACATAATGATTTGTTGCACTGGGACCTTCCATCACAGGAATACCTCAAGCAGGCGTTTACGAAGACAGCCGTGAGTTATTTTTTTTTAAAATTTTACTAATATCAAAGCGAATGTTTAGATGGATGGATGAATGTTTCTTACAAGGTATCTCTAGAACGGTTCAAAATATCTCGCATTTAGCTAAGACGTAGAGCATAGACAGGCTACTAATTATTTTTTTTTTTAATTCCTCGCAGACGTAATTGCGGGGGAACACTAGTCTATACATTTTGATAAAATTGATGTGTCTGTATATACCTAACATCGAAAAAAGTCATATTTCATACACATAATGTATTGCGCAGATGATGACGAAAAAATTTAAAAAAATGTTATGCCTTTCTGAGTTTGTCCGCAAGTCCGCGTTTGTTCCGGGTAACTTCCGCAACAGCTAGACCGATTTTTATGGGAAGCTACTTATTTCCTGCGCTGACGAAGTCGCGGGCGACCACTAGTTTTTGTTTTCAAATTAATGTGATGTTTTTCGTACCTAACGCTGCGCAACGTTTAGGTATCGTCAAGACGTAAAGGTATGCAAGGGTTCTGGCGAACAAAATAAATAGGTAAGTTTGGGTTTTATTTGCCACGGACTCGGTAATCTTCTGGTATTCCTAAATTTAAAACGCTGAATCTAAATCCTGTATCATTTTTTATTAAATAGGAGTATTGCTTGCTACTTACAAGGGATACGATACTTTAAATGTTTTATCAATGAAGTTGACATCACCTTGTCGATTGTTTGGTGTCGAGTGCAATTGACGTACTCCTCAAAACATTTGCTTCGGCCCCATTGTTTGTAAACTGGACTTTTGCAATAACCAGCCAATCAAGATCTATCATCTCGCGTTACATTTATTTCGCTTCGGCTTTTTGTACCTTTATTATTTTTAAAACCAAGGAATTAAAATGGTATGTCACTCGAATCTAATAATTGAACCGATGTTGAGGGATAAAAAAGTTAACCTTTAAGATACTAAAGTAAATAAGAAATTGAGTTAATAAACCGTAATGAAAACCATGTTCAAAAATAATATTTTATATTTTTATTTCACTGGATTATAAGTGCAGTAATTTAAATGACTGACATTAACTACCAAACATAATTGCATATACAGAAAATTGAAAACCATTAAAATACACCAATAATAAGTATGAAATGGAGATTGAATATAGAAAAATATTCTATTAATCATTCTATGTACCAAGAAATATTCAACTTTATTATTTTATACAGATTTATTTTGCATGACTACTCCGGAATGTAACATGAAAGAAATTCAATTCAAGATCTAAATGACAAAATATAGCTTAAATGAACACTTGGCACTATTACTTATACTTACATTGTAAGATTCAATATAAATAGAAATCATCTAAGATCTTTATGACCCAAATACTAAATGATTCTCACACTGTATCCATTGACTCTTCATTTGTTGGCTCCGTCTCCATTTCCATTTCCTTTTCATCAATCCCTGAATACTTTAATCTCAGTTTTTCATAATGTATTTGTTCTTTTACTGATACTGAGGGTTTACATTTAGTAAGAGCTGCTTGGAAATCATCAAATGTGACAAAAATATCTTCATCTAAAGTACCATTTGAAATGTGAGTTGTTAAAGCATTTGTAGCTGCCATTCTTACTAAGCCTGACAGATCTGCACCTGTATATCCTTCTGTCATCTCCGCAATTACTTGTAATATTTGTACATCAGGTGCTAATCTTGGTCTAGTACCTTCTTTAGTCAACTTCCGTAGTATATCATACCTATCTTCTCTGGCAGGCATACCAACATACATAACTCGATCCAAACGCCCCGGTCGCAATACCGCAGGGTCTATGATATCTGGTCTATTGGACGCCGCTAGAACAAACACGCCTTCACGGCTTTCAATACCATCCATTTCAGTTAACAATTGGTTTACAACCCTTGCAGCACCATTGTGATCCTGTGATGTACGTCTAGGACATAACGCGTCAAATTCATCGAAAAATATAACACACGGTGCTGAATTTCTCGCACGTCTGAAACACGTCCGAACTGCCCTTTCACTCTCACCCACATACATGTTCAATAATTCGGGTCCTTTAACTGATATGAAGTTTACTCCGGCCTCATTTGCAACAGCTTTAGCCAGTAATGTTTTACCACAACCAGGTGGCCCACAAAGCAGAACGCCACTGGGAGCTGATAAGCCAAGCTTTCTCAATTGCTCAGGATACTTTACCGGTGCTAAAACTGCCATCTGCAAATCTTTGCGAACTTGATTTAATGAGCCAACATCATCCCATGTCACATCTGGCACAGTAACTATACCTTCCCGGACGGCACAAGGTTTTGTTGTTTTCAAGGCTCTTGTAAAGTCTTCATGTCTTATAGAAAGTCCGGACAATTGTTCAGGAGTGTAAGGTATGTTATTTTCAAGTAGGTTTAAAACATCATTAAATGGATTATTAGAGATTTCTTTTTCTTCTACAGCATCTGGACTTGTTTCAAAGACATTTTCAGGTTCAGGAGGGTTTTCTACTAATGGTACTTCTAATTCATCCTTTTGTACATTTTCACCTTCTTGGGGACTGTCTCCATTCTTTTCTTCATTCTGCACAGTCTCTTCATTACCTTGGTCTCCATTTGGAATATTATTGACATTATCTTTCGGTTCAGCTTCTTCCTGAGGAATTATGATAGGTTGCAGCTCTGCCTTATTCTGAATTTCTTTGAAAATTCTCTTAATTGCATATGTACTAGCTTTATTTACAAGAGCTTGTAAATCAGCTCCAACAAAACCTGGAGTAATTTGAGCCAGTACACTCATATTCACATCTTCATACAAGGCTAAATTTTTGCACAAAATCTCTAAAATTTCCTTCCTGGCTTTTAAGGATGGAATACCTAAGGTTATTTCTTGTTCAAGGCGACCTGCTCTTCTCAAAGCGGGATCTAATGCATCAGGATTGTTTGTAGCAGCAAGTATTAGTATGGAGGCATTATTTTCACTGAGACTGTCCAAGCTCGCCAGTAACTGTGCTACCATACGCTTCTCCATGTCTTTTTGGGCATGTATTCTATTTCCACACACTGCATCTATTTCATCAATAAATAAGATACATGGAGCCACTGACACTGCCCTCTCAAATAGTTCACGTATACGCTCCTCCGACTCTCCAGATACACCACCAACTAACTCAGTGCCAGTGACTGCAATAAGTGGCAACTGAAGCTTACCAGCTATAGCATGTGCTAATAATGTTTTCCCTGTGCCTGGTGGTCCATGTAACAAAGCCCCTCTAGGAGCCTTTATACCCAATTCTTTGTATACTTCTGGATGTTTCATATGCAATATCAAGTCACAAATTTGTGTTATTATGTCTGACAACCCTCCAATGTCCTCAAAACTAACCTTAACATTTTTAGCTTCACTTATTTCGAATTTTTTCTTTGTTATAGGATTTTTATTTGTGTCAGCCTTCCGTTTTTTTTCAACAGGATGCTGTGTATTTACTTGTTTATTAGTGTTTTCTGCCGACGTGTTAGTATTACGCGCAGAATTTGTCAAATTTATATGAGGGGTTATAGTAATTTGATCGCTGATTTTTGGTAATTTTGGCGCTGCGCTGCCGTCTTCATCACTGCTCAAAATGTCAATAGGCTCGCCCGATTTATCTGTAGCTCTGCGGGAGGTCGCCGGTCGTTTTTTATCTTGCATCTTGTACATCGCTAATAACCGATTGTTGAGTGCACTGTTGTTTTCATCTAATAATTCTATGTCAGATTCCTCTTCTGAGCCTTCTGAAGTTGTTGCACCGTCCAAACCGTAACTCTGTAAAACCACCTTGTAAGCACTTTCGACCATCTGACAGAATGCGTTATCGCTTCTATTGCTGTATTCACGATACCGCTCTTTTAGAGAACGCGCCATTTGGCTGACATCGACGAACGTTTTATCCACATTTTCTGCCAAATAATTCTTAACTCGTGACACAATTATAGGATCATTAAGAGTTTTTTGTCGAGTTTGATGCTTCTTCATATTTTACACGGGAAACTATTATTATTTTGGATATATTTCTAATGATTTCGAGTGTCTTCGTCGTAACTCGTAATGTTTGACATCGGCGTCTCCGAATCAATGGAATTAGTCAATTATTGCCACTATAAAATAATTAAAATTGGTGCATTCATATAAATTGTCACAATTTAAAACATAGAATAAAATAATTCAATTAAAAACTTGTATTATTTGCATTGTCTTGCTTAATTGGTGTTTTAACAAGATTTTTTTTATATTTCAGGTTCCGTTATCAAAGAAAACTTTAAGTGTAACATTGGATACTCCGCCCAACACAAACACGAAGGATCAGCTCGTGAATATTTTTATGAATTTAACCGAGTTGGATAAACCGCATAGTGAAAGGTTAAAATTATTTGTAATGTTTCGGAACTTTGAATTGTTGTTTAGATTTAAGAATAAACAATAATTTTAACATTCGTTTCAGGTATCTGGCGGAGAAAGACTGGAATATTAAAGAAGCTTTGCAATACTTTACTGAGATAGTCAAATTGAATCCAACTACCATGAACCATACATCATCAAGTGAATTGGTCACATAAGAAAAAAAAACTAAATTTATAGTATAGTATTATTGTAAGAACACAATTTAAAACTAAAGTGTTCTGGAATTAAGGTCTTCAGAATAATACCGACAAACACAGTTCAGAAACGGTCTTTCTTTCTCTACTTTTTATGATGATGGTGGTTTAATTTATTGGAGAATTAACAATATGTGTCATATGCTCTTCAGCCACTTTTATGAGTCGAGGTAGGCTCTCTCTAAAAACTTATTTTAAGGATTAATTTTCTTTAAGCGTTTTATATACTGTCACATTCTTATCTAATTATAAATCGTAAATAATAGAACGAAAATTCTTTCATTTTTCCTAACCTTGTGTATAAATTATTTTTAATCTATGCTGATGAAGTCAGCACTAGTGTATTATAAAGGTGTTGCCTGCTTGAAATATGTGGTTCGTTTATAGTCATGAGTTTACAGCGTTCAAGACTACCTTGATGTATTTGATCTTTAATCGAAATGTAAAGGAAAACACGTAATCTCTACCTACCTCTTAGGGGAGTGATAACAATTGCAATGGGGTGTGACAAAAACCACAGTACATTTTAAAAATTTTATTGATGAAAGATTACAAATGAAGGGACCTATACAATCATTTCTAGATGTCTAGCATATTCAATGGTTTGTTCCGCAAGCTCGGCAGATGGCAGCACGCCGGCGGCCGCGGCGCTCGCCTCGTCAGCTGCATTGAAGTGATAGCAGTTATCCGTACCCAACACCCAGTTACGCTACAAAAAAATATTGTGAACTATAATACTTTGAATGGCATAAACAATGCTCTCAAATGGATAAGCACGCACCCTTAGTGTTGATTTCCCACTATTGTAGGTTAATATAAGGCTTTTATGAGTCAGTTTAACAGGACATCTGTAGCATTAAGGATTGCTCTACCTTCTCATTTGTTTTTCAAATCAAAATAATTATTGTATTAGGGTTTTGATATAATCCACATAAATACATATATACATGGTTGGATTTCTTTGAACATACCTTCTTTCCATATTCAAGAACAGCCATTTGTGATGGAAGATTGA